CTGCCTCTTGCTCCTAGTCCACTGAAACTAGAGGTATCTCTTCACTCAGGCAGCTACTGGCTGCTGAGGCTAACAAGCCCAAGGTCAGCAAATAAAATGGCACAGTCCCAATGTTACCAAACCACACAGCAGGCCATTAATTCAAGTCCATCGGAAGTCCCAAGGTCGGCAGTGGCAGACTGCTGAACAACACGGCTACATGCAGGGTCCAAGCATGCCATAAGCTAGAGACCATTCCCAAAGCTGCTGCTTGTATGTGGGAAGCAGACCACATTCCTAGAGCCAGCTACTCAGCTGCTTGTGGTAGATCCCACCATGGAGCTGATTGCCAGTCTCATCATGGAGAATAACTACCACCAGCTGCCCAGCCACTCAGCCAGGCCCAGCCAAGTTGACACACAAACTTGACTACCACACCTAGTAATGAGATTATGGGTCAAATGGTATTTCTAATTCCAGCTTTTTAAGGAATCAGCACCATACTGTTTTCCACAATGGTTGTATCGTTTTAGAGTCCCAATTTCTCTACAGCCTCGCCAGCATTTGTTATTTTCTGTGTTGAACTTTGCCATTAGTGCTGGGGTGAGATGGTGTCTCGTTTTGTTTGCCATCTCTCTGAAGGCTAATGATCATGAGTATTTCTTAATGTATATGGTGGCTGCCTGAATATCCTCTTTGGTGAAGCGTCTATTCATGTCTTCTGCCCATTTTTTAATTGGATTATCTGTCTTTTTATTGTTGAGGTTTTAGAATTTTCTGTAAATTTTAGAGATGAGTCCCTTGTCAAATATGTAATTATTGACAGTTAAGAATTTGTTGCTGTCATTTTGTTATGTGCTTTTTCATGGTGTTCGTGATTTATTTGTTCATGTAATTTTCTGTGCTGAGCTCGTTTTGTTTATGAATTGTTTTATCATTTCCTTCATTGCTATTGTTTTTGTATTTGCTAAATATTTGTACTGGTCCTCTTTTTTATTTTGATGTGAAGGTTTATGATTTTTCTTCGAAGTTACCCTGTAATATATAATTTTCTTCCCAAGTTTAGAATAATTCATTCTATCTTACAATTGTCTTGACTTCCCTATCATTTAAAAGTTCTGTAACTACACAGTTTTCCTCCTCTTTTTGGTTTGTAATTGTCCTTATTTGTCAATTAATGTTTCTGGTTCCCTGTTTATAATATTGTAGATTTATTTACCTTGGATACTTCCATAACTGGGTTTTCTGGGTTGTGTTATTATGTGTGTTAATTGTCGGTTGTTGTTTGCTGTTGTTGGTTCTCTGTCCAAAGGACTCCCTTTAGCATCTCTTATAAGGTTGGTCTGGTTTGAACAAATTCCCTTAATTCCTGCTTATCTGGGAATGTCCTAATTTCACCATCGTATTTGAGGGACAGTTTTGCTGGGTATATATAATAATTCTTGGTTGGAAAATTTTCTCCTTTAGACTTTTATACATACTATCCCATTGCCTTCTCACCTCATGGCTTCTGATGAGAAATATGAGCTTAATCTTATCGGTTGCCCCTGCTAGGTAACTTTTCATTTTTCCCTTGCTGCTTTCAGGATTGTTTCATTGTCTTTGGTTTTGGTGAGTTTGATGATGTTATGTCTCAGTGATTTTCTTTTGGAGTCTGTCCTGTTTGAAGTTTGGTGGACTTCTTGAATGGATATATTCTCATCTTTCATCACACCAGGGAACTTTTTTCCCAACAAATCTTGGACAGTTTTCACTGTGGTTTTATTTTTCTCTTCCTGTTCTGGAATTCCAATGACATGTAGGTTATTCCTTTTGATGGTATCCTACAGGAACCTTAGGCTTTCTTCTTTTTTTTTTATTTTTTATTTTTTTCTGATTGATCCCTTTCCAAAGAAGCATTGAGGTATTTGTCTTCAATCTCACTGATTCTTTCATTGATCGATTCTATTCCTTTGCCTGTTCAAAGTCTTATCTATTTCTGAAAATTTAGTATTAATCTTCTGGATTTCTGTCTGTAGATTTTGTATCATTTCTAACTTTTCATTTATTCTGTCATTCTGTTCTTGTATTGTCTTTCGAAATTGTTCTAGGGTTTTCCCCAATTTTGTCAGTGTTTTCTTTGATCTATCTCTCAGTTCATTGAAGGTACCCAAATATAATTCATTTGAATTCCTTATCAGGGTGTTCCAATGCTGCTTCTTCCTCAGGGATATGTTCTGGGTCTGTTTCCTGGTCCCTTGTTTCTCCTGCTTTATCTTGCTTCTTTGTGTGGACTGTGGTCTGTTGTCTCTGAGGCATCGTGACATTTTTGTGTTTATATTTAATTGGTAATTGTATGTTAGAATGACTTGCCCACGATTTTCATTTTCTTTGTTTTGTTTGGGAGCTCTGGTGGTCTAGTGCCTAAGGCATTTGACTGCTAACCAGAAGGTTGGTGGTTCTAACCCACCAGCCACACCTTGGAAACCTAAGGAGGGGTCTCTATGAGTTGGATCTGACTTGATGGCAGTGCGTGTGTTTTGTTTTATTTGTATGTTGTCTACGTAAGCAGGGTACTGTGCTATGCTCCTCTGTTTGCTAGTTGGCAGCACTTATACATTCACCACCTGTCTCCTTTCCCGTTGTCAGCTTCCTATATGTCCCTCATGTCCTTAGCAAATGGAGCCACTTGTAAACAGTCAAAATGGCTGTGTCCTCCGGACAGCCGAAAGTCCACAGCTCAGGTTGTCTCCCTCCTTGCTGTTTCCCTTCCTAGTAATAGGCCACCAGCACAGTCAGGCTGTTGGTGCCTTAAGAGTAGCTGACAGTATGCTGCTTTGACTGTCTCTGGACTCAGTTTTCATTCAGGTTTTTCTACTACTTGGTGCCTAATCTACTTTTGTATACTTCTTTCAAAGTTCAGGGCTCTGGGATCATCTTATCTCTGTCAATTGATTTCTTGTTTCTTTGTTGAAGAGGATCTGTGTAGCATGTCTGCCTGTTCCACCATCTTACTGGAAGTCCCACAGCAAATCAGTTTTCCATTCTGCAGTTAACACATAGTTTGTTTCATGTCATTGATTGCAGTGCCCTGAATGTAATATCACTCCTCCCACTTCCTCCTCCTCTCCTAACCTTTCCTGCCTCCTGAACTTTGTCTTGTTGCCCAGTTTTCTTGAATTGGGTTTTCTTTTCCCTTGGAATCCCTTTGCTGTGGCTGTCCTGTCCACCCACCACCAGCACTACCATGTGGCTTTCCCATTGACCTTATCCTCTGTTCTCTCCACAGCCACCAAAACCCTCAACAGAGGCATCTCCGAGTTCATTGTCATGGCTGCAGATGCCGAGCCGCTGGAGATCATCCTGCACCTCCCATTGCTTTGTGAAGACAAGAACGTGCCCTACGTGTTTGTACGCTCCAAGCAGGCCCTGGGACGGGCCTGTGGCGTGTCCAGGCCGGTCATTGCCTGCTCGGTCACTATCAAGGAAGGCTCGCAGCTGAAGCAGCAGATCCAGTCCATCCAGCAGTCCATCGAGAGGCTGCTAGTCTAAATGGCGGCCTTGCCCGCTCTGCCCATTGACTGCTCCCAGGTTGTGTATCTGAATTTCTGTGTTAGCTACTTCGTAATTGTTAATAAGATATTGTAGTCCTGGATGGTTTCTGGATTTTTTGGATTGTTTTTGTTTCGTTTTGTTTTGCAGGCTTTTTCCCCCTCTTCTCTTTCTCTGCCATCTTCTTATACTCCCTTCTGACAGTGAGCTAGTACCTACTAGAGGAAAAAGCAGTGTGGGGGACACGTTCAGAGGCAGAGAAGAGCCAGGAGAAATCTGATGGAGCTAAGGCAAGACCTGGTGCCAGCTCCCAGTTGCTGACTTCTCACTACCTGTTGCTGGCATACAACAGGCGTGTGCAGGTGTGACCGAAGTAAACACCATCCACTTGGCATCTTTTGTCCCTGACACACAGATAATTCCATAAATATGAAACAGTCAAGGGGCTTTCCTTTGTTCTCCAGTGGAGTGTGGGTCCTCTGGGCGGGTGGGGGGAGCTTGTGTTCAGTGAGGTTGTTGGCTTATTCTAGTTCCTTGTGCACCCCTGCTGTCTGGATGATGGCTTTTAGGTTCTCCCCTCAGCCCCCACCCCTGCTCCCAAGGGTGGTGGGGCAGCAGTATACCAAAGGGGTGCTGCAGGGCTCAGAGACAGCCTGAGTGAGGAGACCTGAGCCAGCTAACCAAGGCCTTGGAGTCCGGAGGGAAAAGAGAGGGTCAGCTGGTACTAGAATGAAGGATTCCAGGAAGGGGTGGAGACTGGTTGGGGCCTGCAGCAGAGATGATCAAACCCAAGGACATGTCCTCATGGGTGAATTCTGCAGTGGACACTTGGTGCCAGCTCTCAGAGCCCTCACACCTGCCTCCTGCCACAATGTAGGTCACATGTCCCCTCTCACATCACAGGGACGGTGCTAATGTGTCATTCGTTCTGTTAGCATTCTAATAAAAGAATATATTCATACACCAGTTAAAAGAACAAGCGTGGTGGTGTCTGATTCTCAGTAGCTATCCAGGTAATCCTTGGATGAAGGAATGCTTGGCGCTACTGGAATGGTTATAGTTTCTCAGAACTTGTTCATTGAGAGGCTGGGAAAGCCAGCATATGCCACCAGGAGGTTTCTGGGTTGGCAGGTCAGCAGGTCTTGTTGTACAGACTTAATCATTGAGATACTGCATCCTTTCCTGTGCTGCTGCATCTGTTGTTTCGTGTTTTCTATCAGGAGAAGTTGGTGTCATGGGAGGACTGTCATTCTAGAGCAGCTTTCTCACCCTTGGAGGTTGGCTTTGGTATTGTGTGTGTGTGTGTGTGTGTGTGTGTGAGAGAGAGAGAAAGAGATTTGGGTGAAAATTTACAGAGCAAATTCATTTTCCATACAGCAGTTCACATACACTTTGTCTCATGACATTGATCACAATTCACCACAATGCAACAGTACCCCTCCCACTTCCGACAGTTACCTCTTCCCTGTGTCCATCCCTCTATGCACCCCTGCCCCCTGAGCTGTCTCCTTGTGCATTAACAGCCCTTCTTTCTTCCATCATTGTTCTCTCCAAGGAGTGTATCTACCTCAGGTAAATGTTAAACTCCTATGCCTGTCTTTTGCATAGCTAGAAGCCACAGG